AGAATAAAAGAAAATAAATTTTAAAATTAACATATAATTCCTAATTAATTAAAAAGGGTTGTGATAAGTTCTGGTATATCATTAGCAAGATTAATATGGTTACATGTTCATAACACATATAACTGAAAATGATCTCCTCATTGGTATCTCACCATTTTCTCATTATTTTTACTTTTCACATCATTTTCTCTAACTAATCAAAGTCGAAGCCAAAAACTCACGAATACTTATCTAATATCAAAGTATATTTATTCCGCTAAAGAATTTAATTTTTAAGTATTATTAAAATTCATAAATAAAAATTATTCCTTTATACTATATATATGATGTGTATATATGTAAATCAAAATTTAATAAGAAAATAGAGTTAATATTATTTGAGTTTAAAAATCGGTATATAAAACTTAAGTAGAAATAGTTATTTGATTAAGATTATTTAAGATCTAAGATTATTTGATTATTTACCATTTTCTAATCATTTACACTTTTCTCATCATTTTCTATAAACTAATCAAAGATGAAGCCAAAAACTCACAAATATGACATCATATATGCAATAATACAAATAATAACATGTGATCAATTTTAAACGAATATTTAATAAACAAACGAATCGAATATACATTTGGTCAAATTCTAATCGTTAGCAAATTTGAATGTGTTAAATAAACTACCGAATCGAATATGACTGAATAGTTTATTTGAATAATTATCGAACTATTTGTTAATTACTTGGTTCATTTACATCCCTAGATGTAGCAATTTACATAATTTGGTGGACTACTTTTAAAATATTATATATTTGAGGGACAAATATTAAAATAATCCTTAATTTGTTGTGGGGGCCACTCATTAGCAATGAGATAATCAATCACTAATGTTAAATTTTTTACGATTGGCACATTAGCATTGGCGATGGGACGCATCCGTCGCCAATGAGTATTGGTGACGGATTCGATCCGTCGCCAATAACTATTGGCGACAGATCACATCCATCGTCAATAAGTATTGGTGACAGATCGAATCCGTCGCCAATACTCATTGGCCGCCAATACTCATTGGCGACGGATCGAATCCGTCGCCAATGTTTTCCCGTCGCCAATGCTCATTGGCAACGGGAAACATTAGCGACGGATAAAATCCGTCGCCAATGAGTATTGGCGACGAATTCGATCTGTCGCCAATACTTATTAGCGACGAATAAGATTCGTCACCAATGTTTTCCCGTTGTCAATACTCATTGGTGACGGGAAAACATTGGCGACGGGGTATTAGCGACGGAAAAACATTGGCGACGGGGTTGTTCCCGTCACCAATGTTTGTATTGGCGACGGATTTGAAATTCGTCGCCAATACCTCGTCGTCAATACCCAGTTTTTTACTAGTGGCAAGATCAAGTGGCTCACATATTTACTAAGCCATTAAAACACGATGTGTTTACTATGGAGTTGAAAGTAAATTTGATTCATTACCTTGAGATGTGAAAAGATCATTTAGTTATTTGTGAAGTCAAATGCATGAAGATGTTAGATGCATGAACGTTATTGGGAAGTTTAAGAGTCTTTGTTAGGAATTCTAAAATTCCTTGTAATAGTATATATATGTGTGTGGTTTATGAATTGAAAAAAGCCAAACAAAAAAGAAAAAAATCAAAGAATAATTTTATCCTCCTGCATATTATTTATCCTAGGCAAAATATTGTTATTAGCTCTCTCTTGCATATTTATGTAGAGGCAATAATTGATGTTTTTTTGGAATAAATCCAATCATGCAAAAGCGAGACGATTGAAGCAAAAGAGTATTTTCGGAGAGATTCTAAGATGAAACTTTAAAAGATCATATTTTTTGACACGCTCCATAGAATCTTTATTATTATATGTTTTTGGAAAGCTCAGAATTGCTCTTAGATATTCATTTTTAGGCTCAACTGTGCGTGGAATTCTAGGTTACTTTTAGTTTTGTAGTTTTTATAGAAAGTTTTTAATGTAAGGATTTCTCTTAGCTTAGGAAAAAGATAGTTTGGTAATTTTTTTATTGTTTTGTACCCTATATAAGGGGAACAACTTAATGTAGGATTTTAGATTGGTTATTATTAATTTTAGAAGTTTTCTATTCTTAATGTTTCTAGGATTTGTGTTGTTTTGCTCGTACGAGAATGAATAATGATCTCTTTCGATTATGCTTCTACTACATCATATGATATTTAGAGAGAGGTTGTTTCTTGCTATGGTCACCAACGGTAATGAAGTTAATCACCTACCTAATGATCTTGTATAGCGAGTTGATGCCCTAGATCGACACGTTTCAAGAAATCATCATAGCGATGATGAACTTGACTACTATCGTGAACAGAGGAATCCTAAATGAAGTTAATAACGAGGTGCGTCCACAAGATGTTCCATGTGATTGACCTGCCAGGGCTAGTGTACGTGCTCATCGTCAAAATCGAGACTATGAGAATTTAAATCTGAAGGATTATCACACAAAAGTTAAGGAAATTCCCTACTTTTCAGGTAATCTTGACATTTAAATTTTTTTAGCTTGGTTGAACCATGTTGAGAAGTTTTCTGAGATCCACTCTATCTCAGATGGAAAGCAAGTTCCTTTGATGGCTTGCAAGTTGTAGGGTGGTGTTGCGGTATGTGGGATCAACTTCAAATCAGTCGAATTCTCTAACACAAATTGCCAATTCGTATTTGGCATCACATAGAGAGAGAGAGAGAGAGAGAGAGAGAGAGAGAGAGAGAGAGAGAGAGAGAGAGAGAGAGAGATGTGATACATATTTTTGCCTGCAAATTACACCTTAATCTTATATTCTCAATTTCAAAGAGAGAGAGAGAGAGAGAGAGAGAGAGAGAGAGATGTGATACATATTTTTGCCTGCAAATTACACCTTAATCTTATATTCTCAATTTCAAAATTGTCGCAAGGCAATTCAATTGCAAAAAGAGGTAAACCGGTCAAACATAACATTGAATTTTGCTCCTTCTGGTAGAGTCCCAATAGAAGATAATTTATTTGATATTGAGATCAGCCATTGTTCATTCCAAAAGGAAAGCAGGACAACCACAATTACACAAATAGACAAGCAAATATCAATGGAAACAGAAAGGAGACTATTGGCAATAAATCTGTTCTCTTCAATTGGCTGTTAAGAGATTGTTATTGAGCACTAAGATTGCATTGATGCTTTTAAAACCAATGAAATGTCGAGAGTTGAAATGCAACACAGTAAGTCATCTTGGACAAAAGTATTAAACTTGAGACACTGTGAGATGGACTTGGAACTAAGTGTTGTTGATTTGTTTTTTACGAATTTCATAGGTGCAGTTATTCTATCAAATGATGATGAACTACGATAGTCTAAAAAAAATCAAAGGATGTAACAGAGGAACTTGACTCAAACATAAGTCTTTATATGAGTAATCCCTAAGAGCCAAATTCTTTATTGAGAAGCCATCTATTGAATCAAAAGTGTTTAGCACATCCGAGCGATGGTTTTCGATATGCACTTGCTCATTTGCAAAGTGAACCAAATGTAGAAATTGTGAAGCCAAAGGTTGGTTCTTTACTTTTTGTGCAGGATTCAAATGCTGATAAGTATCATCGTTTAAAATTATTTGATGAGGAAGATCTGATGATGGATCATCTGCACAATAAACCATTGCCTAAGAAAACCTGCCACAAGTTTAAGATAAAAAAGATTGCTGATTTGACTGAGTTTCACCCAATCAGGCCACTTTACATTCAGTTAAACTCGAGGACGAGTTTTGCTCAGGGAGGGGAGAATGATGTGGAGGCAATAGTTGATGTTTTTTTGGGAAGAAATCTGATCATACAAAAGTAGGACGATTGAAGCAAAAGAGTATTTTCGGACAGATCTTGAGATGCAATTTTAAAAGATCATATCTTCTGACTTGCTCTATAGAATATTTACTATTATATATTTTTGAAAATCTCAGGAAGTGCTCTATACATATAAAAAATAATTCATGGTTTCAAATAATATTCATATTCAAAGATATTCATCTTAAGGCTCAATTGTGCTTGGAATTCTTTAGTTTTCTAGTTTTTATAGTTAGTTTTTTAATGTAAGGATTTCTCTTAGCTTTAGAAAGAAGATAGTTTGGTATTTTTTTCACTGTTTTGTACCCTATATAAGGGGAATAAATTCATGTATGATTTTAGATTGGTTATTATTAGTTTCAAAAATTTTCTATTCTTAGACTTTCTAGGGTTTGTGCCGTTTTGCTCGTACGAGAACGAGAGTTATTTCTTTTGATTACACTTCTGTTATATCACGTATTGACCGGGAGTGTAATGTGATCGTATTTTATTAGTTTTAAATATAGTTATATCAATATTGTTGTGTAATTA